TGAGTACGGTTCTCTTCTGGTGGTACCCCCTGCTAGGTCCCCCAGGAGTGTACACGTCCCTGAGGTTTAGCTTTAGAATTGCTCTGTAGTTTTGGCCGCAGGTTAGCAGTACCCTGCCTGGGATTCCCTGACCGTGAGTTCCGTCTCAGGGGCCCAGGGGGCGCGCGGGTCCGATGGATGCGACCCAAGTCCCCCCCCTCACTTTGTGCGAGTTCAAGGGTTGCTCGGTCCCCTTGTCTCAGGGTGACTCTCACTGTTTTTGCCTCTGTCACGCTGCCTGTTGGCTCGGTGACACTTTTGACCCCGGAGTCCTGCGAGTTTTGCTGCTTGCTGGTAATTCAACTTACCCAAACTAATGATGATCTTTTGCGGGTGCAGGCAGTGCAGGCGTTGCATATGTGCTTTAGGTTGTTGTGACACACTAGGTTTGTTGCTCACCTGGATGCCCCGAGGCTGCCCTGTTTTGCTTATAGGGACCCAGACTTGGGGGGGTGAAGGTTGCTTCGACCATGGTTCAGTCCGCACCCCCTTGTCCTTCCCCTGCTGTGGTACGTTCTAGTCCTTTCCCCTGCTTCCGGCCCCGAAACGTCTGAGAGTTTCAGAGTCGGAGCAGGGTTCAGATGGTCTTGAGACTCAGGCAGTCTTGGGGAATGCCCCTTCTGGTGTGGCGACGGAGGCATTCAGTCCGATCTCCTACCCGAAGCCTCCAGGTCTGACCAGTGGGCTTCCTTCCGTCTGGCTTACATGGTTGTGCCAGCCTTTTCTTTTGAGGCCGGTGCTTTGAGGGATGACTTGGCTCCGGGTACTTCGGTGGAGGATCCTGGGGGCGGGGTGGGGCAGACTTGGGAGCCTTGGGCCCCATTGGACCCCACCTGGGGTTTTCTGCCCCCTGAGTGGGGCTTACTGTTACAAGAAGTAGGATTCTCTTTTCCTCCCTCTGCGTACAAATTGGATTTGGTATCTGCCCCTCCCCGGGTTTGGTTCCATGCCCCCCCCCCCTCAGGGGGGTCAGTTTGTGTCTTTCCAGAGGTTTTCGGCTTTCCACACCCAACCTTCTGCAGTGCGGGCAGCCCTAGCAGCTTACCTCCTGCACGACCTGGATTATGCCTCGATTATGGATCCGTCTTCTTTCAGGTTTAGGACGTCGTTCCCTTTCTGGATCCGTTACGAAGTTCCGGAGTCGTCCTGGCTGGCGGACTATCCTGTGTTTGCTTTGAAGGCTTGGCATTCCTTGTGTCGTTCCCACACGCTTGGGTGACGTGAGGCTTCGACGGTGGTTCTAGTTTTCCTGGGGGTGACCTTAAGTACCTCAATGAGTGCTTGTTTGCCCCTGGTCTTCCCCGGGATGTTGGCAGAAGGGACATCCCCGCAGCTCAACGGGCAGGTTCCCTTCCTTTCGGTGGCGCAGGTTGCCGAGGACTTGCCCGCCTGTGGCCTCTTGGCTTTGGCCTTGCGTTTCTTTTCCCTCCTGGAGTTGTCTTCGGACTGGCTAGAGGAGGATGTGGGGATGCTTTGGGCCGTTCCTGGATCCGGTGCCTTGGGCTCAGTGGCTCGCTCGTCGGCTGCCTTGTTGCAGTTCTTTGCGCTGATCCTCCGGCATGCTGTTTTGCTGTTTTATGCTTCCCAGCTCACATGTTGGCAGGCGGTGCTTGTCTCCTCTCTGGAATCGGCCTGGGCCCTGACCTTTAGGATGTCTTCTCCTCCTTGTCCTCTGCTTTTTGCGGATTCTGCCGTGGCACAGTATTTGCAGGCTGCTTCAGCTAGTTGTCGTCCTATGTCCGACTTGTTGGTTCTCCCAGGGTCCCGGAGGGGAAGCCCTTCCGAGAGGGTCATGCCAGGCCTCGGAGTTCCACTCATTGTACTAGGCCACTGTTGCCAGATTCGGGTCCGGCTCCGCCTTCAGACTCACCTTCGTCTGGTCGTTGTCTCCCGCTTTCGTTGTCTCCCATTCAGTTTGAACCTGGCACCTCGCATGTTCTCACGCCTTACCCGGGTCATGGTGGCCTGTCTGCGTCTTCTAGGTGTTCGGTTGTTGGCCTACCTCGACGACTGGCTGGTTTGGGCTCCCAGACGGTCCTCTTGTCTGCTAGCCAGGAAATTGGGTCTTTCCCAGCTCGCCGGGTTCGGGTTCTTGGTCAACTGAAGGAAGTCCCATCTGGTTCCCTCCCAGGTTCTTACCAGGCTGGGTCTTGTGTGGGACTCTCGAACCGCTTCCTTGTCTCTTCCTCCGGAGTCTCACCTGCGGCTGCGGTCCCACATGCGCTTGTTTCTGGGAGGCTCCAGGGTCACCCGCTGGTTATTCGAGGGTCTGTGTGGGAGCCTGAACTTTGCGATGATGGTCTACCCACCGGATTGGGTTTGGCTTTGTAGGCTGTTCTGGTTCCTTCGGGGATGTCCCTTCGGCCTCTCTCACGATCGCTGGGTTTGGCCCCCAAGGGCATTGCTTCGGCTGCTGCGTCGCCAGCTCCCCCTTCGAGGTTTTCAGGGTTCAGTGCCTTGGCGCTTGCCCGAGCCCTCGCTCGCTGTGTTCACAGACGCGTCATCTCTCGGTTGGGGCTTTGTGACCAGTTCTCACCAGGTCGACCAGGGACGGTGGCATCCATCCTTCCGTCGGGACCACAGTAGAGTGCGGGAGTTTACGGCAGTGTGGTTTTATCTACGGAGGATTCGGGTCGCCCACGGATCGACTATCCGGCTCCATTCGGACTGCTCCCTGGTGGTTCGTTGCCTGAACCGAGGGGGTTTGATTTAGTACTTGGCTCTTTGGCGCTGGTCTCTTCGGGTGACTCGTCTGCTGAGTTCTCGAGGTTTGGCTCTCCTGGCAGATCATGAGGCGGGCAGTGTCCAACATCTTGGCGGATGGCCTGGCTCGTTTTGTTCCTCTGTCCACGGAACAGACAGTTGATGCCGACTCTTTCCGTTGGTTCTGTCAGACGTTCAGGCACCCCGAGGTGGACCACTTCTTCGCGTCGGCGTAGTCGTGTTGCCTTCCTCTGTATGTTGCGCCTTTTCTCGACTGTGAGGCCATCGGGGTCGATGCCTTTCGGCAGGACTGATCAAGGTGGGGGTTCCTGTACCTCTTTCCCCCGGTTCAGCTGTTGATCCAGGTCCTGATTCACTTGGAGACGTACCAGGGGGAGAGTAGTCCTCTTGGCCACGTGGTGGCCGGCCAAGCCGTGGTTTCAGGCGCTGCTTGCTCGGTGTCCGAACCCGGAGGTTTTCCCATGGCTCCTCCTCTTCCAGCAGATCGGACTGGAGCGTCACGTGGCTGGTTCTATCTTCTCCTCGAGTCTTTGCATATGGTATTTTTGACTTGAGTTTATCATCATCTCTATGGTGATAAGGTGGCTTCCTTGTTGGTGTCCCTGGTTGATACCTGCAGGCTTTGTCTCGGCAGCAGTATGATGTTTCTTGGCGGTCCTTCCGGTTTTTTTTTGACTCTTCGTCGTTGTGCTTCACTTTTGGTTCAGGTGGTGGTGTCCTTTCTCTCTCTTGGTTGTTCCAGGACCGTCATCTTATGCCGAATACTGTCGCCTCATATTGCGCAGCGCTGGCGGAGCCGCTGCAGCTTGCTTTCGGTATTGATATAAGTTCTGCACCGTTTCGCAAGCTATTTTTGTGTGTTGTTTCACCTCCGGCCTGCTCATGTGCCACCTGAGCCGTCCTAGTCATTGGACAGGGTGCTCTCTTTTCTCTCTTCTCCTCGGTTTGTTGTGGCCACTTCTGTTCAGGATTGTTTCTCGAAGGCTCTTTTCCTGTTGGCATTGGCCTCTGGGGGTCGGGTTGGTGAGCTTCAAGCTCTCCTCCGGAGTAAGGGTTTCTGCTCTTTCGGTCGCGGCGATCGGTTTGTCTGCAGCCGTCTCCTCCTATTCTGGCAAAGAATGAGACTGCTGCTTTCCAGAGGGGTCCTTGGGTTGTTGATGCTTGGTTAGTCAGGCCGGGATTGCATCATGTTTTGAGTCCAGTTGCAGCCCTCCACCGTTATTTGCACGACATGGCTTCTGTGTGCGGGGACAAGCTTTGAATTGATCCAGTTTCCCTTCTTTCCTGTTCACGGGTGCGGGTCTTCAGGGTTGTCCACAGGGATTTTTGGCGGTCGAACAGGGTCTTGACTGCGCGCAACGTCATTAACGTTCCTGGGAATAGTCGGGCCTGTGTCGCTTTGGGTTGGCGGTTGCAGCTAGTTGTCTCTCCTTCGAGTTGAGGAGTGAGCAGCGACCATCTCCCAGGTAAGTCCCTCTAGTTTTCCTCTGTGGGTAGTTAGCTCTGGGGAGCCAAAAAGACTTCCCTCAGAAAACCAGCATTGAATGTAATGAAACGCCATTTTCTGGGCGAGACCCGGAGACTTCCCGGTATCCCTCCCTTCCCCCAGTCGGCGGTTTTTTGCGTGTTTTGATGTCCAGCCTCTGAACTGAAGGGTGGATAGCCGGTACGGGGGTCTGGGGCTTCCCCTTTCCCCTCCAGGGGAGGAGGGGAGCTGCGCAGACAGCTGCGCAGGTGCGGCGACATATGATGTCATGCTCGTTTGCTCGTTTCTTTTTGGGGAGTTCTATCACTTCTTCGGCTTTTGGTAGCAATTTTTCACCAGAATAGGGGTTTGTTCTGGGAAGCTTATCTTTCTGGGTGACTGACCCGTCGATGGCAGACATAGAATGCTTCCAACCACATGGGGGGTTTCTATAGGCCATTGCTCCCCATGAATCTCTGAGGGGGCAGGTTCTGGTTCATGGTCCCCGGTAGGCCCACAGAACTCCATACACACATGACTGATGCTAATGTCATTTTCTGGGTTTCACCCAGAAAATGCTGTTTCATTACATTCAATGCTGGTTTTTTGCCTGAGTCAGCCTGTCAACTATGACCGCTTCGTTGGTAAGACAGACTATTGCAATTAACAAAAATATGAGAGTTAGCCAATTCTTTTCAGTCCACCAAAGATTCCAATCCACTGCCATCCATTTATACATATTAAATCCAAGCTGAATATGTAATATACTCACACTTTAAATGTTTGTTCCATATGCGTGACTCCTCCTTGTATATTTTCTCGGCATCCTCAAGATCAGGAGCAAGTTCCCGACCCAACGTTCTTAATCTCGGCGTTCTAAAAGGGGTTTGTAAAATTTTTCTGGCAGGAGTTCGTCCTGGTGTGTTAAATACTTTTGACTTTTTGAACGAGTAGGAACCTGGAGTTACATTTCTAAGTTCGTATCTGTCAAAGGAAATATGTACACAAGCAGAATTTATCAAGTGTTATAATACATGTAATACAGTATGTACTTAAAATCATACTGTATAATGCATTCATTATCAAAATAATACAATTGTAATACAATATATATATATATATATATATACACACACACACACACAGACTAAGAATTGTTAACATTCACATAAATGGGAAATGTGCAAACATTAAATGACCAGAATCAAAGTATATTTGTATAGCACAAGCTTTTGTCACAGAACCACACACACACTATGGACTTTGGAGCATAACCTAGAGCACCTAGAAACAATGTAAACAAATTAAAAGTAATTGAACCTTGTGTGGTTTCAAATTTGGAACAGAGAATGTACTTACGAGTATAGCAAATCACAGCAAATTATCTTCCAGACATCAATACAAACTGGGAACTTTGCAGACATACAGGAAAATGCAAATAGAGGCGGGACCAAAGAGACAAAGCTCAACCCCCGCAAGCACAATTAGGCGAGTACAAATACAGTACACGTCGAGTCAAAATTGACAAAAAAAGTGTTGAGTGTAATGAAAAGTCATTTTCTGGGGGAGTCCCAGAGGCTGCCCCGAGCTATCCAGGCTGAATGGATATGTATAACTTTCTGGCATCAGTCAATGTGTTTGGAGTTCATGCCTACCAGGGCCCACATGAGCCAGAACCTGGCCCCCCCCTCAGAGAGGTAAGAGGAGCAATGGCCTATAGAAACTCCCATGTGGACCACCGGGACTGAAAGAGCAGAAACCCCTGCATCAGAGGAGAGCATGAAGCTCTCTGACCTGATCCCCAGAGGCCAATGCTAACAGGAAAAGTGCCATGGAAAACAATCTTGAACAGAAGGGGTCACAACAAACCAAGGAGGAGAGAAACAAGAGCACCCAGTCCAAAGACCAAGACGGCTCAGGAGGCGCATGAGCAGGCCAAAGGGAAAACAACGCACAAGACAGCTTGCAGAACGGGGCAGAAGTAACATCAACACCAAAAGCAAGCTGAAGCGGCTCCGCCAGCGCCGCACGACACAAGGCGACAGTATTCGGAACAAGATGATGGACCTGGAACAACCAAGAAAGAAAAGACAAAACAACCCTATCAGAAACCGAAGAACACTTACGCAGTGATAGGGAAAAACAGGAAGGACCGCCAGGAAACTTCATACTGTCGCCAAGACGAAGCACGCAGGTGGGAGACCAACAATGAAGCCACCTGCGCACCATGCAAGTGATGATAGACCCAAGTCAAACCACCATACCTTGAGGTTACCTTGAGGTGATTTCGGGGCTCAGCGACCACGCAGCCCGGTCGTTGACAAGGCTGTTGGACGCAGCTGCTCGCAGCCTGATGTACGAGTCACAGCCTGGTTGATCAGGTATCCTTTGAAGGTGTTTGTCAAGTTCTCTCTTGAACACTGTGAGGGGCCGGCCAGTTATGCCGCTTATGTGTAGTGGAAGCGCGTTGAACAGTATCGGGCCTCTGATGTTGATAGAGTCCTCTCTCAGAATACCTGTTGCACCTCTGCTTTTCAATGGGGGTATTCTGCACATCCTGCCATGCCTTCTGGTCTCATGTGCTGTTATTTCTGAGTATAGGTTTGGGACCAGCCCCTCTACTCTTTTCCATGTGTAAATTCTTGTGTATCTCTCCCACCTGCGTTCAAGAGAATACAGATTTAGGCTCTTTTAGTCGGTCCCAATAGTTTAGACATTTAACCAAGTGGATTCTAGCAGTAAAGGCTCCCTGCACACTCTCCAGGTCAGCAATTTCTCCAGCTTTGAAAGGGGCTGTCATTGTGCAGCAGTATTCCACCCTAGAGAGCACTACCGTCTTGAAAAGTATCATCATCAATATAGCATCTCTAGTGTGAAAGGTTCTTGTTATCCAACGTGTCATTTTTCTTGCAGTTGTGACTGGTTGCAGTTGCTGCAGTTGTTGTTGCAGTGTTGCAATCGAGACCATACTGGAAGACTGAAGGAGAAGACATAAACCAGCCTCATACTGGGCTGGACCAATCTGCTGAAAGAGGCAGAGCCGCGGGAAGAACCTCGGGTTTGGACATTTAGCAAGCAGTGCCTGAAACCAAGGCTGGGCCAGCCACCAAGGAGCCAGAAGGACAACCCTCCCCTGGAAGTCTCCAAGCGAGCCAGGACCTAGAGCAACAGCTGAATCGGGGGGGGAGGATGGGGGGGAAGGTACAGGTAACCCCACCTCGCCCAGGCCAGCCGGAAGGCATCGACCGTCGGGGAAGGGTGCCACGTATACCGGGAGACACCTCGACCACGCTGACGCAAAGAGATCCACTTCCGGAGACCTGAACGTCTGGCAGAGCCAACTGAACAAACTGGTGTCGACTGTCCATTCTATGGACAGGGGAATAAACTGGGACAGGCCATCCGCCAAGACATTGTACACCACCCAAACGGAAACCACCAGGAGAGCCAAACCCCAAGAACTCAGCAGACAAGTCACCCGAAGCGACCAGCCCCAAAGAGCCAAGGATCGCATGGAACCCCCTCAGTTCAGACAATGAACCACCGGGGAACAGTCCGAATGGAGCCTGATCATCAATCTGCGAGCGACCCGAACCCTCCGGAGCGACATCCACACCGCTGTGAACTCTCACACTGTGCTGTGAGCCAGACGGAAGGAGACTCCACCGACCCTGGCTAGCCTGGTGAGCAGCCCCAGCCAAAAGACTACGCGTCCGTGAATACATCTAGCGAGGGCTCGGGTAGGCACCAAGGCACTGAATCCCGAAAAAAGAGGAAGCGTCGCCTGAAGAGGAAGCCGACGACGCAGCAACTGACACAAAGCCCCCCAGAAGCCAAACCTAGCAGTCGCAAGTGAGGCAGAGGGACGTCCCCGAAGGAACCAGAACAGCCGACGAAGTCACACCCAACCCGGGGAGTAGACCATCATGGCAAAGTTCAGGCTCCCGCACAAACTCTCGAGCAACTGCCATGTGACCCTGGAAACCCCTCAGAAACAGATGCAGGCGAGAACGCAGGCAAAGCAGAGCTGCCGAAGGAAGAGACAAGGAAGCGGTACGAGCATCCCACCGAAGATCCAACCAAGACCAAACCTGAGAGGGAGCCAGAAGTTCACCAAGAACCCGAACTCGGCAAGCTGGGAAAGAACCATATCCCTGGCGAGCAGACACACAGTCTGGCTAGGAGCCCAAATCAGCCAGTCGCCGAGGTAGGCCAACACCTGAACACCTAACAGATGCAGCCGGACAACCACTCGCATGTTCACTCGAGTAAGGCGAGTGAACATGCGAGACGCCAGATTCAAGCCGAACGAAAGGCAAAGAAAGCAGTAAACTTGATGCCCCACACAAAACCAAGCAAGTCCCTGAACTTTGGATGAACCCGGATGTGCCAATATGAGTCTTTGAGGTCCAGGGACACCATCCAAGCGCCCAGCTCCAAAAGAAGACGGACCTGGGACAGTAGTCATCAGGAAGGAGGGGCAATAAACCCACGGGGTCATACAGGACAAGTCCAGAATGAACCAGAGATCCACATAGTACTGTTTCGGGACCGGAAACAGGTGGGAAACCCACCTGAGGAACGAGGTCGTTTCGGCCATGCCCAAGCGAACCCACTCTGAGATGACTTGACAGAGAGCAAGAGAAGAGGCTTGCTTCACGAGCCCTGAGCCTCTGGCAGAGCCAACAGAGGAAGGAGGAGGAGCCACCCAACACCACCACAGGCCGCACAAAACGACCCGAAAAGCCCATAAATCGTGGGACTAGGCGCGAGCGAACAGAGCGAGCCTCTCCCCATCACCCTGTCAATGAAACGAACCGCGAAAGGGCTGATGCACCTTACGAGAACCTAAGCGGTGCACAGGGCAATCACCGCACCGACCAAAAACAGATGGAACCTGAAGGCTGCGCTTGCCCCGAATCTGGCACCACTGGCCTACCACGACGGAAGGAACCCCGAGCCCTGGCACAACCATTTCTGGAAGGCACTCACTAACCCCTTGGAGCACCAACAAGTCCGACATAGGCCGACAACAAACCTCGTGCCGCCTGCAGATATTGCACCACCGCAGACTTTGCAAACAGCAATGGGGAAGGGGCAACTTTGTGGGAAAGGTTAAAACTACTTGTGGGTCTTCAATACTGCACATTGTGGAGAAGGTTAAAACTAATTGCGAAAGTGAATTCCCCAACAAAGACAAAGCTCCTGAAGGAGTCAAACTATCCCAATGTTGTGAGCAATAGTCGGGCATCGCCTCGCAACATAAGAAGAAACTGGCTCTACTCGAAGACCCACTTTAAGGATCAGAACACCATCATCAATGGGAAGACACCTCCCCCAAGCCAGCTGAGGCACCACTAACACCAAAAGACCCATCACCAGTGCAAGGACACCAGCCACCAGCAGACCAGCCAACCACCACTCCACAAGCCTCCTGCTGCAGCATAGAATTTCAACATGAAGTTCTATTTCAAGATCAATACCTAATGCCAACCCATGGTGGACAGGCCACTGAACTTTCAAGTCTTCTTGCTCCCCATCCACATCCTCTTCCAGAATTTTAACTCCGCATCCTTCTTCCACATTCCCTCTTTCTCCCAGCCTTTTCAAAACTTTTGGACACTGAATGCTAACACACATTGTGGGGGAAGGTTAATAAAGAGTACTTCTGGGTCTTCAATACTGCACATTGTGGGGAAGGTTAAAAATTGCTTGTGGGTCTTCAATACTACAGTGTGTGGAATATTAAAACTGCTTGTGGGTCTTCAATACAACAGTGTGAGGAAGGTTAAAAACTGCTTGTGATCTTCAATACTACACACTACAGGGAAGAAGTAAATTTATATTCATAGAGGGTGCTTGCATGACCTGGCTGAAGGTCTGCACCAGAAAAAATGACCAAATTCAAATAGTGTAGAACAAAAAATCTCGCCAATAGTAGTCTTAAATGACATACTTATCAGATGATCTCGGAGTGTGTGGTGAAGGGCCTTTTCTTGTTGGAGTTTCTTCCTATTAAGGAAAAGAAAATCAAATTAGAGTCATTCAATAATTACATGGACCCTTTAATTAAATAGACATCACATGGCCACCTGATTATATATTTACATGCAGCTGTGGAAGGCAATGGAGTCAAACTAACATTTGTCAAACTTGCAAGAAATGTTAAAAAACCAGCGTTGAACGTAATGAAACGCCATTTTCTGGGTGAGACCCGGAGGCTTCCCGGAGCTTACTAGGCTGATATGCTAATGTCAGACTTTAGCATCAGTCATGTGTATGGAGTTCTGTGGGAATACCGGGGAGCACGAGCCAGAGTCTGGCCCCCTCAGAAAGGCATGGGGAGCAATGGCCTATAGAAACCCTGTGTGGTTGGAAGCATTCTATGTCTGCCATCGACCGGGTCAAGCACCCAGAAAGGTAAGCATCCCAAAAAACCCTATTCTGGTGAAAATATTGCTACCAAAAGCCAAACAAGTGGATAGAACTCCCTAAAAGAAACGAGCATGACGTCACACGTCGCCACACCGCTGTCTGCACAGTTCCCCAGACCCTTCACGACCGGCTATCCACCCTTTAGTTCTGAGGCTGGGTGTCGAAACATGCGAAAAACCACAGACCGGAAGGAGGGAGGTGTGTAAAACCTTGGTTTGTGCCTCGGAGAGGCTGCAGGATCCAGTAAGTTTAGTAGAACTTCGGTTTCAACTCCTTTTCCATGTCATAGCTCAGTCGATTAAGGCAGCGTCTGGGATGCTCTCAGACGCAGGTTCGAATCCTCGTCACAGCCCTTGTGGATTTGTTCATTTGATGCATCACGCAATTGTGATTTCTGTGTGTAATGAAGTAAGGGCGAAGAAGGAGAACGGCCTATAGACATAGCTCGAGTGCATGGGGGGAGTTGTGTAAAATCCTGGTTTGTGCCTCGGAGAGGCTGCAGGATCCAGTAAGTATATTGATTAACACTTTCTCTCGGTAATGACTCAGCATTGCGTCGTTTTTTTAGTAGATGCATTTCCGGTAACGACGCAGCATTGCGGCGGCGGCTTTGGGAGGGGCACGCCGGGGTTTTGGACATTATATGCATATACTGCTGTAGAGAATTTCATTGCGAATACATTGATACCAAAATGAAAGACCTAGGACCAGAATTGAGGTAACAAAGTTGAAAACAGTATACCCATTTTATTAGCGCTCACTGGGATTACGCTCCGTCACTTTCTCTGTTTGCTGTGGGTGGTACGCCTGGCTTTTGGACTTTATATTTGCATATACTCCTGTAGGGAATTCTATTGCGAACACAATGTTACCAAAATGAAAGACCTAGGACGAGAATTGAGATGTCCAAAGTGAAGAGAGTGTACACATTTTATTGCTCTTGCGCGGTTCTGGGTAATACGCTCTTACTTTCTCACTTTCTTGCTGGGCTTTTGGGCTTTACAGTATATGCATTTAGTCTTATAGAGAATTCTATTGCGAACACATTGATACCAAACTGAAAAACCTAGGACGAGAAATGAGATGACAAAGTGGAAAAGAAAATACACTTTTCAGTATTACCGCGCTTTCTAATGTAATGAGAGGTGCCTTGGGGTGGAGTAGTGCTCTCTTTCTGGGCCACTTTCATCTTGTCAGCGGGTGGAGCGCGCTGAATTATTTTACTTTATATGCATACACTCTTGTTGGGAATTTTATTGCAAACACAATGATACCAAAATGAAAGCCCTAGGACGGAAATTAAGGTGACAAAAGTGAAAAGAGTGTACACATTTTATCACTCTTATGCGCTCCCGGGTAACACACACACACTTTCTCTGTTTGTTGTGGATTATACGCCAGGCTTTTGGACCTTATATGCCTTTAGTCCTGTAAAGAATTCTATTGCGAACACAATGATACCAAATTGAAAAACCTTGGACGAGAATTGAGGTGACAAAGAAGAAAAGATTATACACTTTTCAGAACTAAAGCGTGCTCCCGTGAAACGCTGAGGCCCACCTGGGGTAGTGTGGGTCTCGTGCGCCCGGTGCAATAAAGTGTTAATTAATCGAAGTGTTAATAACAAGACACCTGGTGTTGTTCTTCAGTTATATCTTGCTCTGGTTAGGCCCCATTTAGGTTATGCAGTTCAGTTTTGGTCGCCGTACTATAGAATGGATATAAATTCACTTGAACATGTCCAGCGTAGGACGACTAAGTTAATTCCCCAAATTAGAAACCTTTTATATGAAGAAAAATTAACAAAGCTTAAATTGCATTCACTGGAAAGGCGTAGAGTTAAGGATGACATGATAGAGGTTTACAAGTGGATGAATGGACATAACAAAGGGGATATTAATAGGGTATTAAAAGTATCAACACAAGACAACACGAAGCAATGGGTATAAATTGGATAAGTTTAGATTTAGGAAAGACTTGGATAAATACTGGTTCGGTAACAGGATTGTTGATTTGTGGAACCAATTACCGCGTAACGTTGTGGAGGTGGGGTCCCTTGATTGTTTCAAGTGGGGGTTGGATATGTATATGAGTGGGATTGGGGGTTATAAATGGGAGCTGCCTCGTGTGGGCCGGTGGGCCTTCTGCGGTTACCTTTGTTCTTATATTCTTAAACGCATCGTCAGCTTGGTCGACGTCATACCTATGTACTTAGATTGAAGGTTACATCCTTCGTGGGGGCAAGTGTACATGTATACAACGCTTGACTGCTGTAGAGGGTTTTCCATCAGCTTTGGGCTGTTTTTAATAAGGAGGTCGGCAGTCTTCTTTGTTTTATAGAATATGATCAGGTCTATGTTTTGGTCAGGAATAGTGCTTTTTACTCCTTTACGAATTATTTCCTTCATTATTCTTTCTTCTTTTTTATGTTCAATATGCATAGTTGATTTGTAATATAATTTTATTGGAGGTGTTGTGGTTTCTGTACTAGGGTTCAGGCTTGTACCATTGGTCCAGGTGTCTTCTTATAGCGGTGTTTATTTCCGTGTTGCTATATCCGTTGTTCAGAGTACCCGAGTTATTCTTTCGAACTCTCTACTTGCATTGCTCCATTCGGAGCAGTGTGTAAGTGCTCGACGAATATAAGCATTGAGAACACTGGTTTTGTATCTTTGGGGGCACTCACTCTTAACGTTCAAGCATAATCCTATGTTGGTAGGTTTTGTATATACGCTGGTGCTTAAAGAGGTTCCTGTTTTTGTTTTTAATACATCCAAGAACGACAGACTGTTATTTCCACTATTTTCATGTGTAAACCGAAGTACTGACTCTCTCTCTAGATGGCTTTTTAGATCAATTAGTTCATCTGAGTCTTTTACTATGACGAATATGCCATCTACATAATGGCAGTATACAGTTGGTTTTTGTCTGCTACTGAAGACTCTGTCTTCGATGGTTCCCATATAAAAATTAGCAAATAACACTCCTAAGGGGGAGCCCATTGCTACTCCATTTATTTGAAGATACATGTCTCCTTGCGGACTGATGAAAGGGGCTTCTTTTGTACATGCCTTGAGAAGACTCTTCAAGTGTGGCTCAGGTATGTCTAATTTGGGGGTGCTCTCGTTTCTGTATACTCTGTCTAGTATCATCTCTATGGTTGTGTCGACTGGGACGTTGGTGAATAGGGACTTGACATCCAGGGAAGCAATGATTCCATCGGGCTGTGTAGTTTTGATTAATTCGAAGAAATCTGCTGATGATTGTAGACTATAGTTGCTTGGAGTGTATGGAGTTAGGAGTTCGTTAAGTCTTTTTGCCAGGTTATAGACTGGAGTTGGTATTTGGCTGATTATTGGGCATAGTGGGTTACCTGGTTTGTGTGTCTTAACATTGCCATAGGCATATCCTAAGCCACAGTCTCCTTGGAGTTTAGTGAAATAAACATTACCTTTCTTTGCGTTAATTGCAGTAATAGTTTTGTTCACTTAGCGTTTCTGGTCTTCCACAGGGTTCCTTGTGATTCGTTGAAATTTGGTCTATCACTAAGGATGACATGCATATACATACAAGACATGCTACTAAGTGGCTCCCAAAACTGAAGGGCAAGAGCTACGAGGAGAGGTTAGAGGCATTAAATATGCCAAAACTAGAAGACGGAAGAAAAAGAGGTGATATGATCACTACGTACAAAATAGAAACAGGAATTGAGAAAATCGATAGGAAAGATTTCCTGAGACCTGGAACTTCAAGAACAAGAGGTCATAGATTTAAACTAACTAAACAAAGATGCCGAAGAAATATAAGAAAATTCCCTTTCGCAATCAGAGTGGTAAACAGTTGGAACAAGTTAAGTGAGAAGGTGGTGGAGGCCAAAACTATCAGTAACTTCAAAGCGGCATATGACAAAGAATGCTGGGTAGACGGGACACCACAAGCGTAGCTCTCATCCTGTAACTACACTTAGGTAATTACACCACAAGGCACAGAACTGGGAAAACAGGAGCCAGAGGTGCACAACCTTGCCAGTTCACATCAGCCACAAAACTATAGGGTGGATAGCCAGCACGGGGATCTGGGGCTTCCCTTCTCCCTCCCAGGGAGGGGGGGAGCTGCGCAGACAGCAGCGCGGCGACATCATGCTCGTTTGCTCGTTTTCATTTGGAAACGTTTCATTTCATTTTTCATTTGTCCACTAGTTCGGCTTTCAGTAGCAATATTTTAGCCAGAATAGGGGGTTTGTTTTGGGCACTTACCTTTCTCGGTGCCTGACCCAGTCGATGGTAGACATAGAACGATTCCAACCACACAGGGGTTTCTGTGTCTCTCTGAGGGGGGGGGGGTCAGGTTCTGGCTCGTGGTCCTGGGGTAGGTCTAGAACTCCATGCACTTTGACTGATGCCAGGCAACAGTCAATGCATTCATATCAGCCCGGTTAGCTCAGGGGAGACGAAGGGACTCCCCCCAGAAACCATAAATAAATGATTAATGAATATTGATTTAGACAGCAATATAATAATATAGGTTCAAAATAGAGAGCATAAAGCAAATGGAACAAGTTAGATAGGAACGTTCAGACAGGGTACCCTACAGGCTTGTCGTAGCAACACACAGTAGAAGCTTCCAGCAGAAACAAGGTCAGATATATCCAGTGACAAAACTTACCTGTGACTTTGTGGGATGAATTTGAACAGGTACACTCTGAGAATTTCTACTGCTAGAAGTTTGTGCTTGCTTTTTAGTTCTGGAACTTGAACGAGATCTTCTGGATGATGACTGTCTCCTTGATGTTGGTAATTGTGGCATTTTTTTAGGAGATGGCTTCTTACCTGTGATTTTTGTTTGTCGTTTCTCTTCACCACCTGACTTTCGCTTGGGTGCCATTGTTGTGGGTCAATTCTTTAAAGAAAATAGGAAAGGTAAGTAATTGAAAAGTAGTCTAAAATCATAGAACCTATATTGTATTTCTAGACCACTGATTATTGCAAATTCAAACTTTTAAAAACTATACTATACAATAAGTACTGCTTTACACTACTGTACAAGTAAGTTTACTACTTGTTTAACATGTCAGAATCAGATAACTTTAGTTGTAACAAACAAATTTGCTCAACTCAACAGGTGTACTGCAGTCTGAGTCAAACATATTTTTAGCATAAATTGCATAATATTTAGCTTACAGTTTGAAAGGTGATATATATATTGGAAAACTAAGCATAGTTTATTATTAGTGGTGAGACAGATATTAAAACAATTTATACCACCATATTAGGATAATGAGAAGACAATTTGAGGGTGAGCTAATATAAACAGACAATGAATAGCCTCCAGGCTTAGTTTTCCGGATACATGGGAATGATGAGGCACGTACAGCCCTGTGCAGTATCTTCCCCTAACCCAATAATAACAAGGCTTTAGGTAGTTATGTACAACAGACAAAATGTACAGATTTTCCAGAACAATATATAGTTTGGTAAGTATTATTTATCTAAATTTACCTGAGGGCCACTAACACTAGTGGCTTTGACGAGGACTGGAAGCCAGCAGCTTGTCAAAGGTCCCCCCATTTGTCCTGATGATTTTTTCCATCTGGATTTTAAAGCTCTCCAATTTTTGGCATTTATGGCTTTGGCAGGTAGACGGTTCAGTGGGTTTATAACCCTGTGGGTGAAAAAGCATCTCCTGTTCTCAGTCCAACATTGTGGCTTGTTGAACTTGAAACTTTTGCTCCTTGTTTGTTACATTTTTTTTTTTTTTTTTTTTTTTTTAAGAAATTGCCTGGATCAACATCCTCCAAATTGTTTAGTATTTTAAAAGTTTTGATGAGATCTGTCCCTGTCATGCCTGGTTTGCAGTGTTGTTAGCCCTGTGGCCGTCAACAGTTCCTGGTATGAGAGCTGACTTAGGCTTGTACGGAGGTCTCCCCAAAATCGAACTACTGTACTGATCCTTCCCAGGATGCAACCTCACAACAATTGCCTAAATCCCAGGTATCTTTACTACTTGGTGAACAGAGCCATTAGGTAAAAGGAAGTGCCCAACCATTTCTGTTCCGACCAGGAATTGAACCCGGGATAACCAACTGTGAGTCAGGAATGAAGAATCCTTTACTACGAGACCTAAAGATTATGAATATTTTGGATACAGCCCCATAAAAAACATAGGAATAGTTTAACAGTATACAAAATTAACACTTTGTAGTCATATTTATTTGAAACCAAAACTGTACAAATTGCATGTAAGCAAAACAAACAAAGCCGATCAGGGCAGAAAGAATTAAAATTATATCACCATCAGATCAAATACAGACATTGCTATGGAGTTTGTAGTGACTAGGTTGCTGGCAGTTATAGTAGTGCCATCAGAACTACAATATAACAAACACTGTCTTCAGACAACACACAACTCTGTTTAAGTCCCTTAACATGCTAAACACACTCCACACATTCTCATGTGCTATTTATATGAACAAAACCTTGTTCCTAAGTGCTAATTTTGATCTGAAACTTAGATACTTGATAGGTGTAATAGAACCCATGAGCACCACACCAGAAATAAATCTCTCTTTGATATCCTCAGAGTAAAACTAAATCTGTACATTCACACTATGCAAATAAAAAACCCAGTCTATGTAACTCACTTCCTAATAAATTAAAAAATTGTCCAACATTTGCCTTATTCAAAAAAAAAATAAAAAAGTATCTAATTTCATCCTCACAGTTTCCTACCTTGTGCTTCAAACTAACACTGTATCTTGTACTACCCATTTCCCCAATATTAGTACCTAAGACATATCTTTACCAGTGTAATCATCTCAGTCAATTTATATTGTAGTTATATGTTGATACAAAATTTTGCTACAATGTACTTTTTCATCTTACCTGATATGTTAGATTAAGGACCTGCCTGAAACACTATGCATGTTAGTGGCTTTGCAAGAATGTAAAAATACTTATGTAATCTCACAAACCCATTGTACCTTCTTGTAAATAATTATTATTATTATTATTGTTGTTGTTAAGAATTTGATATCTGTGACATCAATGGGAAGAGCAAAAATATATATTTATTTTATAACCTTTCTCAAAAAATTTGATGAACTGGAATAAAAGATAAAAGTGCTATACAGTAGTATTTAAATACAGTAATGCAATGTCTCATCAGCCTACAGTCAAAGAAGTCAACGACACAATGGCCCGCATCCCATGCATTCACAATTTTTAGAATGGTTAATATACGGTAGATTTTTATTTCACTAAAACAGAGGCTACTATTTGCCATTTCAGATGTATAACAAGCAAGATTTGTTACAGCATATGTAATGCCCCCGTGGCACAGTGGTACACTCGCATCGCTCTTTGCGTGTGATTTGGCCTAGGTTCGTATCCTGGCCGGGGATGATTGACTAGGAGCCAATCCTTAACTGTATGCCTGTTCCCCCAGAAATGATTGGGTACCTGGTTTTTAAATGATTGGTGAGCCATATTCCAGGGAAACTAATGGGAAAGGCTTACCATGAACTATGGGAAGAGAAATTGCCTGTTCCTGTACCCACCTGTGTAAAAAAAAAAAAAAAAAAAAAAAAATAATCACAACAACTTTAACAAGGACCAACAACACTTGGGCACCAAGTGGCTGATGCCCATCCACTTGGGTTGGACGGTAGTGACGGTCCCGCTTCATGCAGGTTGACTTTATCTCCCCCACCGTCCAAGTGGTTGGGCACCATTCCTTTCCCCCCCCCCCCCCGTCCCATTCCAAATCCTTATCCTGATACCTTTTAAGTGCCACAGTCATAAAGGCTTGGTGCTTTCTCCTGATAGTTCCTTCCCTACAAACTCTGTGGCAATCTAGCGATGGCGAGTGTTCCTCTTCACACCTCGGATGACCAGAACTAAGTGCAGTGGGCACCACAGTCGGCTCTGATCAACTGATCTTTCCCACATCAAAACAGTTTTGGACATGTTTCCTTACATCTGATGGCTCTGCTCACCTAGCAGCAAATAGGAGGGGGCGGGGGGGGTGTGGTTACATCAAACACAGGCACTTTAACCATGCTCATTTTCTGTCACTCTGAATAAATTAAGTTAGGTTGTGTTAGGATTGGATGGGCTAGGACAAGGTAGTTTGGGCTAGGTTTGGTAGGTTTTAAAAGGCATTGGAAAACTGTCTTGTGTATTGAAATACCTGTAAATAGTAACAGGAGTTAGTCAACTGTTGTTTAGTGCATCTTAGGAAAGGTCAGTCATTAGCTTTGAGAGACCTCGATAAACCTAACAAGTTTCCTGTCCCAGTCTCAAACCATAACCCACCTGCTGCAACCACTGACATCACACCTTCAACTTGTATATGAAACTTCGTTTATGATAATGACAACACCCAAATACTATATTTGGATACAATAAACTGTGGTTGTCGCAACACTATTCATAACTAGTGAGTTATGACCCGGTAGGATGACACCAAAAGGCCTTCTTTTCCTGATGATAAAGCTAGCTTAATACGTCAGATTCTGGCGCATATAGAGCATTATGGAGAGCAGCAGGCACGAGAGGTGCCCAACACCCGCCATGAGCCTCAACAATAGAGCATTGAGCATTATATTTATTTATTTATTTATTTATTTATGCATATACAAGAATGTACATAAGGAATGTGAGGATACAATTATGGTAATTACAGTCTTGTAAAGCCACTAGCACGCGCAGCGTTTCGGGCAGGTCCTTAATCTAAGAAAATTTTAAGGAGGTAAATACTTGCAAAATTTATAGACAAAAAAATGATAACAGATTACATGGAATGAAAAAAAAAAAGATGAGAGAAAATTATAGGTACAGTATATTAAAGCACATAGGTAGCTATGATTGATTGCAATGACAGCTTAAAATGGTAGTTGACAACAAATTGGTAGGCACAATACAGCAGAAACAATATAAGATTGATTGCAATGACAGCTTGAATGGTAGTTGACAAAAATTGGTAGTCACAATACAGCATATGGCTAGCACATAAAAGAAGACAGCAATGAACACAATGATAAGGTTGTTTGATATTACATAAAAATTAGGAGATTGGGTACCACTAGGTACAGAGCAAATTTAAAGCTCAGTGTAGGAAACTAAATAGATGAAGTTAGGTACTTTTTGGTTTTGCTTTTAAATAAGGCAAAAGTTTTACAGTTTTTCAATTCACTAGGGAGTGAGTTCCATAGACTAGGTCCCTTAATTTGCATAGAGTGTTTACACAGATTAAGTTTGACCCTGGGGATATCAAAGAGATATTTATTTCTGGTGTGGTGATAATGGGTCCTATTACATCTGTCCAGGGAGAGTTTCAGAGCATGGTTTGCATTTAAGAACAGGGTTTTGTAAATGTAGTTGACACAAGAGAATGTGTGGAGGGAGTTAATATTTAGCAAGTTTAGAGATTTAAACAAGGGAGCTGAGTGTTGTCTGAAAGCAGAGTTAGTTATTATTCTGATAGCAGATTTTTGCTGTGTGATGATGGGCTTAAGGTGGTTTGCAGTGGTAGACCCCCATGCACAGATACCATAATTAAGATAGGGGTAGATTAGTGCATAATATAGTGAGAGGAGAGCAGAGTTAGGAACATAATATCTGATTTTGGAGAGTATACCAACTGTCTTAGAGACTTTCTTAGTTATGTGTTGAATGTGGGTGCTGAAGTTGAGTCTCTTGTCTAGGAATAGGCCAAGAAACTTGCCATCATTTTTATTACTGATGTTAATGTTGTCTATCTGTAGCTGAATTGCATTTGATGATTTGCTTCCAAATAAGATGTAGTAAGTCTTTTCGATGTTTAATGTTAGTTTGTTCGTTGACATCCATAAGTGGACTTTTTTTAATTCATTATTCACAACATTATTTAGTGTATGTGGGTTGAGGTTTGAGTAGATAAGGGTAGTATCGTCAGCAAACAATATAGGTTTGAGAATATTAGAGACATTAGGCAGATCGTTTATATATATAAGAAATAGAAGAGGTCCTAAGATGCTGCCCTGTGGCACTCCAACGGTAATTGGTAGAGTGGAAGAAGTTGTATCATTGATGGTTACATATTGGTGTCTGTCACTAAGATAGGATCGGATGTAGTCAAGGGCAAGGCCTCGGATTCCATAATGCTGGAGTTTAAATAAGAGGTAGTTGTGATTAACAGTATCAAAGGCTTTTCTTAGGTCAATGAAGAGTCCAATCGGAAACTCATTTTTGTCAAGGGCTGAGTAGATAATGTCAAGGAGACTAATGATTGCATCATTGGTACTCTTTTGGGACCGGAAGCCAAACTGGCAGGGGCTGAGTATGTCGAATTTTACGAGGTAGGAATAGAGCTGTTTGTAAATAATTTTTTCAAATATTTTTGATAGAATGGGTAGATTTGATATTGGTCTATAATTGTTTATGTCCGCCGGATTGCCTCCTTTATGGACTGGCGTTACTCTTGCTTTTTTGAGGATATCAGGGAAGGTGTGACACTCTATAGATTTGTTGAACAGTAGTGCTATGGGTGGGGCAAGGGCATGGGAGGCTCTCTTGTACACAATGGACGGAATTTCACTGGTGTTCCCTGCCTTGGTTTTTAGAGAGTGTATGATGGACACAACATCTGCCGGGCTGATTGGTGAAAGGAGAAGAGAGTTTGGATAGC